TGTGTCAGTGTAGATTCGTCAGTTGTAACAAATATAGCACACTGATGCGGGGATGTTGATGGTGGGGGAAGGTGTATGTATTTTGGGGTTGGCGGGAGAAGTATTTAGGAACTCTGTATTTTCCACTCAATTTTGCTGTGCTCTGAAAAATGTCTATTAAGTTTTTAAAATCCATGCTGTTAAATTATAGCTCAGGTTTAGATTGTAACGGAAAGTTCTCCTTCTGCAAAATGAGTAAAGAGCAAGTTGGAAATCACGGTGTGGAAGGCACAACTTTGCTGGCACCAATCACACTGCCTAGCACATAGTAGGAGGTCCATAATTACTTTTCTGCCTCTACCTCACTCCTGAAATCTGTAAGCCCTTAGTTAGCAGCATCCTCTGGGGAAAGGGGAGTGGATGACACCTGCAGGTATATTTTGCACAAAACAGACTGGGAATCCCAGGGCTATGCACAAGACCAGGTATACCTCTTTCTCCAAGAAATTAAATCAGGGCTTCTCTAACTTTAGTGCATATAGGAATCACCTGGAGAGGTTTTTAAAACAGACTGCAGGGCCTCTTCTGCAAAGTTTCTGATTCAGTAAGTCTGGAATGAGACCTGAGAATTTGGATTTTCAACTGGCACCCTGGTGATGCTGATGCTACTGGTCAGAGGATCACATTTAAAAGTTGCAAGAATTTTGATGGTTTTTAAAGATGAAATCTTCTCAGTAGACATTCTGGAACTTATAAAGGAGGAGCTTGGGACCAGCGATGTGGCTGAAAGGGACTAAGAAACTTCTCAGAAGGCTGCATCTGCTTGGCAAGCACGCTGTGTTTACTTAGGATAAGAGCTTATTTGGATGGGTTGGGGTGATGGAGACTATGAGAGAGGGCCTAAGCAAACTAGCAGTCCATGTTTTGTTTTGCTCACAGAGAGTTTTAACAATATTTCAATCCCTTTAAACAGGGCATGTGCTGTGTAGGTCACCACAGTCCCCATCACTTCCTATAGTCCTAAACTAATCAGCTTCACTCATTTATATCTACCTGGACCCTGAAGTCGTTTCACCTGCAAGCCCTGTACTAGCCCTGACCTTTCAGGACCCTTATAGCTTTAAAATTATGAGATGTTATCTATAGACTTTCCTATTGTGCCAGAGAGGAAGTTCCTTCTAACACACAAAAAAGAGCTTTGCCACCCAATATTTTCAACTACATATCTTCACAATGCAATGAGAAATTTTCAGGTAAAAATAGCTTCATAATACCATAACTCCCCACAACAATATAGTTTGTGATGAACACAAGCATCTTCCTTTAAAAGAAAACTTGGTATATAAAACTAGAGATAGAAATTAATACATACATGAATAAATAAGGCAAATTATAATAATTTAGGGATGCCAGATTTAGTTTAAAAATATAGGATGCCCAGTTACATTTGAATTTCAGATAAACAAATTTTTTAGTATAAGTATGTCCTATGCAATATTGGGGATGAATTGGACATGCTTATACTAAAAAAAAAGCTATTTATTGTTTATCTGAAATTCGATTGTAACTTAGCATTCTGTATTTTATCTGGCAATCTGTATTAGTTTCCTATTGCTGCTGTAACAAATTATTACAAACTCAGTGGCTCAAAGCAACATAAATTTATTATCTTACTTATCTTACAGTTCTAGAGGTCAGAAGTCTAAAATGTGTCCCTAAGGCTATGCTCATTTTGGAGGCTCTAAGGGAGAATCCATTTTCTTGCATCTTCCAGCTTCTAGTGGCTGCCCATGTTCCTTGGTTTGCAGGCCCTCCTCAATCCTCAATGCCAGAAGTATAGCAACTTCTCTCCTCACTGACACCTGCTTCTGTTGTCTCTCCCTTGCCCACATTCCTCTTATAAGCACCCTTGTGATTACATTGGGCCCACCTAGATAATCTCCTCATCTTGAAATGCCCAATTTATCACAACTGCAAAATAACTTTTGCCTTACAAGGCAACATATTTACAGGTTCCTGGAATTAGGACAAGGGCTTCTTTGGGGCAGGGGTGTAGGGGGGGGACTATTCCCATAATAGTTATTTGACTTATGAGTTTAGCCCACAATAATATAGTCTACTTTTATTATTTTATTTTATTATTTCTAATTCTATTTCAGATATGATTTTGTTTGTAGAAACCTAATTGGCACAGAACTTCTGGTTTGTATTTATTGTTTAGACACCAAACCACATAATTTCCTACAGATTCTTATCAATGAGTATGAGTCTTCTTTTTGTAGATGAAAATAGATCAAAGGAATTCAGTCACATGCCTGAGACAGAGCCATATGCATAATTTTCTTTGTGTCCAGGATTACCCACATACTACGACAATCAGTATGCAGCAGAAATCAACATGTGCCCTGCTTCCTTCCCCCTTATTCTGTTGTATTTATGATAAGTTGAAGACTGATAATTTTTTATTCCTCTCAACATATAGAAAAGCTTAATAATAATAGGAGAGATTATATATAGATTCCTGAGCATAGTGACTGATAAGAATGAAAGGGGAAGCTCTTTCAACTATTCAGTGGAAACTAGAGCCGAACTTGATAAGCTAAGGGTTTTTATTTATTATATGAATGAAAAAATATGGAAGCAAAATATACACTGCATCTGACTTATTAGTGTTCAGTTGTTGTTGTCTTAGTCCATTCAGGCTGCTATAATCCAAATACTGCAGACTGGGTGGCTCATAAACAATAGAAATTTATTTTTCAGAGTTCTGAAGGCTGGAAGCCTGAGATCAGGGTGCCAGCGTGGTTGGGTGATGGCTCTCCTTCAAGTCACAGACTTCTTTTAGTATCCTCATGTGGTGGAAGGGGCCAGGGAGCTCTGTGGGATCTCTTTTATAGGGGCACTAATCCCATTCAGGAGGGCTCCACCCTCACCTCCCAAAGGCTCCAACCTTCAACCACCATCAACTTTGGGGGTTAAGATTTCAACATATGAATCTGGGGAGACACAAACATTCAGACCACAGCATTTGTCAATGCATAAAATCTTTTCAGATATTGACTATGTGGTTTCCAGATTGAGTCTTAAAAAACAACAACAAATGTCTCTGATAAAATGTTTGAATGCCAAAATTCCTCTAAATAAATAGTTAAATGTGTCAGAACATGAAAAGGAAAACGTAAGTTTTTTTTTTTCTTAACTCTTTCTGATCATAAAAGCTATTCATATGCCTTACAGATTTGGGAAATTTATAAAGAAAAAAACTTCAAAAAGAAAAAAATTTTCCCAGAATCCCACTACCCAGAAATAATCATCTTAACATTTTGCATTATTTCTTTCCAGGACAATTTCTGGAAAACCAATTTCTATATAGACAAATTGCATGGCAGACATATTATATAGTAAATAAAATGTAAGCTTCCATTTGTTTATTTAGTGATCTGCCCATTAATTTCTTTCAACAGATGTGCTGTGAAATAGGTCATTCATCCACTTATTCACAGGGTACTCCACAACATGGCTCTTCATAGACTTTTTTTTTTTGGCTGTACCGCAAGGAATGTGGGATCTTAGTTCCCTGACCAGGGATCAAACCCATGTCCCCTGTAGTAGAAGCGTGGGGTCTTGACCACTGGACCGCCAGGGAAGTCCCTCTTCATACACTTCTAATAGAAGTGTATTTAGTCAGTATTCTTTTGGACACACTTACCAAAAGACCAACTCAAATGTACTGGCTCATCAACTGGGAAGTCCAAGAATTTGGTGCAAGCTGTTTCTACGTAAAGGATCTACTACTCTCTCTCTTATTTCTCAGTTCTGTCTGACTTCATCTTCAAACAGGTTCTCTCCATGTGGTGGCAAGATGGTCCCACATAGTTCTAGACTTTAATGGTCCTTAATGTTTATAATCCTAGAGAAGGAAAGACCTACTCTCTCTCAGAGTTCACACGTCAAAAGTTTCTGATGGAGGAACTTTTTTGGTCCTACCTGGGTCAACAGTCAATGAGAAGACAGGGATGGGGTTCCACAATTAGCAGGGCCTGATCACAGCCATGCCTGCTATTAACATTAACAACAGAATCACATAGGGTCAGGAAAGGGCATGTCCCCAAGAAATAGAAGGGTGCTGGTCAGACAAAGCAACAGATGTCCAATAAAGAGGAGAGAAGATCTATACTCAAATATCTTGTTGAAAACCAGGTTATATTTAGACAGATCATCTAGGTCAATATACTACTCAAACCTATTCTTTTTAAAGAGCAGAATGCACATTATCTGAACCTCTTCTCAAATTTCAAAAAAAAAAAAATCCCCTGTAAGCATGAAACAAATGTCCCTTGCACCCAAGTTTCAAAAGTTTCTTACTAAAAACAAGGCTATGAAGTAAGTATATTTTATGATGGTATGTAGATGTGAGTGGAAATGGGTTATACACCTTTGGATTAACTCCAATAAAAGGCAAATGCTGTAGTGCTAAAATTACAATAATATAATAGTAAAAGTAGGAAGGAATGGTGGAAATTGTATAAAAGTGGAAGGTAAGCGGGACAAGGTAATCATGCAGCACTCTCAGAACAGCAGTCAGACATGGCATATTTGGACAGTTTCATGGGAAGCCTTGCCAAATCAAAAGCAGAAGGAAACTAACAATTTGAATAGCTATTATGTCCAAAACGTGGTGTTAGATGCTTTCCTTCAGACCGTTTAACACAAAGTAATTATTTCCAACCAAAATACACAGAAGCTGAAGCTCAGGATTATTTAATTCACCTACAGTCCATTTGATCTGAAGTTTATCTGAAGCCAAAGTCCATTTTTTTTTCCACCACCAAGCTGTCTCTCAGGAAAGGACAGACTCTTTCAACAAAGTCCTGTTTCCTTTCTCACTGGAAAGAGAAATTATCAAAAGCCCACTAAAATAACCCAAAGATTTAAATGATAAAATTAACAGCCAGGAGTTCTGTTGCGAAACTATACTATAAACATGAATTGTGTTGTTTAAGAACTTAAACAGCCTCTACCTTGTAATCCCCTTGTCCTTTTGAAAATCAATCGGCTGTCTTGAGCATGTGGATATAGGGTCTGTCCACTTCCCTCCTTCTTCACGACTCCTGTCTCCGGACCATGTCAGGCTCATCCAACCTCAGTCTTGGCTCACGTGGCTCCTTCTGCATGAAAGACTTTTCCTCTCCTGCAGATGATATTCTGGCTGATCCTTCTCATCATGAAGGATTTACTTAACTCAAATGGCACCTCTACAAAGTGACCTTTTCCTGCAACTAGCCCGATTAAAATAGTCTCCACATTCTCAAATATTGATAGTATTTAGCATGTGAAATTGAAGTGAGATGCGGCCTGCGTGGGAGTTACATTGCCTATCACTCTGAAGCAAATGAAACAAAATAATATGTGAACACTGAACTAGTGCCTGACTCCAAGCCAGGCATTGTTCTAAGCATTTTACATGTACTAACTCATTTTTATCTCTCATAATAGATTTATCATTGCTATTTTGCAGATGAGTAAAGTGAAGCATATAGGCTACATTGGCCAAGGTCACAGAACAAGTAAAGGGCAGAGTCAGAATTTGAGCCTGGGTAGTTTGAAGTTAGTTCCTGCTTTTAACTACAGAGGGTCCTGCACGTATAACAGTTCCCCTTTCAACTTTTCAATGGCTTGAAAGCGATATACATTCAGTAGAAAACGTACTTCGAATTCTGAATTTTGATCTTTTCCCGGGGCTATGTACATGCAGTACGATACTCTCTCTTCATGCTGTACAGTGGTAGCAACCACAGCTCCCAGTTAGCCACCTGGTGAACAACCGGTACACTTACAACCATTCTGTACCCATACAACTATTCTGCTCTTCACTTTCAGTACAATATTCAGTAAATTACACAAGATGGTCAACACTTTATAATAAAAATAGGCTTTGTGTTAGATGACTTTGCCCAACTGTTGGCTAATGTAAGTGTTCTGAGCAAGTTTAAGGTAGGTTGGGCTAAGCCATGATGTTCCCAGGTTAGGTGTAGTAATGTATTTTCCACTTACATGGCTTTATCTGGACATAACCCTACGGTAAGTGGAGGAAGATCTGTACTACTTGATTCTGCCTCTCCCAAAGAGCCGAGTGACTGGCAGCACGAACACACTAAAGTTCCTCTACGCCTATAAAAAATAAGCTTATCGCCTTAAAATAACTGGAGAGACTGTAAGAAACAACAAATTTTGTTTCAGCCAGCGGCAGGTATAACGCCATTACAAATTGCTAATACTATCAATTCTTGTCAATTTTTCAGGTCCTCCGAGGTTCTACCGTCAGCCCGTAAAAATACCCCAGCTCACCATCTCAACTTTCTTCTCTCCCCTCCGCTCCACTAACGCCGGCTCATTCCAGTGTTTCTCCAATGAATCTGCTGAAACTCTGCCTCTACAGCTTTTTAGTGGCCAAATCTCAACTTCCTCATCTGTAAAATAGCAATAATACCTGTCTAGCCTACTCCGCTAGAACTGAGGCTAGAGTGAAGTGTGAGAGGGCTCAACTGATACTAATTTCTATCACTGGTGGTTATTTCGGGGTCCTTTTCTCCGCTACACTTTATAATAAAAGAAACATCTTTGCGTTCAGAATTTCGCGTCCTTTCGCTTCTCCAGCCAGCTCCGGCGGGTCCAACTTTGCTTTGAGCCTGCGCACTAGCGGCGGTCTCTCAGCCTTTGCTTTCCCAGTTTCACCTGACGAGCTTTGATGACGTCAGTCTCCTGCGCCGAGGTACGAGCGGGCGCGCGTGAAGAGGTGCAGGGTGTCTTCTCCCGACGCATTCCAGTACCTGTGCGTCCCCTGACCTGACAGTATGAAGGAGACGCCGCTCTCAAACTGCGAGCGCCGTTTTCTACTCCGCGCCATCGAAGAGAAAAAGGTAAACCGGCAATTTGGCGCTGCGTGAGCGCTCGGGTAGCGCGGCGGCCCGCAACCTTCCGGCCTGGGCGCACAGACCTAGCTCTCGCAGGCCCCGGGAGCCCCTAGGGGAGCGGCCAGTGGGTTCCCTCAAGGCCCCAATATTTATTTGGCTCCGGTGGGGTCTTTTCAAGGCTCAGGTCACCCCAGCGACTGTCAGTGCTCGGGCACCTAGTTTCCACTCTCCTACATGGAGTGGGTAGGATCACACTTACCTCCAAGTGCTTAGCCCCAGGACTGCCTAGCACAGAGTAATAAATATTTGTATTAGGAATAAAGGAATGTTGTGCTTACAGCGGCTGGATGGCAGACAAACCTATGATTATAGGAACATCAAGATCTCATTTGGAACAGATTATGGGTGCTGCATTGTGGAACTTGGAAAAACAAGGTAACAAAGTATTCAAATTAGGTATAAGCTCAATAGGGAGAAATTTAAAAGAACTTGATTGACCCAGTTTACAAAGCAGATAAGTCTGGACAGTACTTTGTTTAGCTGCCCAAAATAAGTATGTTTTCTTTAATGCAAGACTTTGGTTTTATAGTCACACTTTACATTTTTAATCATGAATATATTTTCTGTCACGTAAGTATCACATAGTTCTTTCTGATCTCTGTGAATCATATATACAGCCAGCAGTGATTGCATTGAATTTGTTCCTTGCATTTGTTGTCATTAAGTAGGGCCTACTTTCCTCCTTTTCCTGAGTGACATGAGAATTAGATTTTTAATATTCACTTGGAAGTTGTGAGGATACTGGTCAGATAATGTTGGTGAACCATGCCATAAGAAAACTCTTAGGACGTCTCAAGTTTGCATGCCATCTTGTATCACTAAATATTTGTTTTAGAAAAGAGAAGAAATGGTCATTGACTCTTAAAAATCTGTGGAATACTAAATATTGTAATGAGATTTTTTTTCTCTGTCATCTCTTTGGTTATGCCAATATGTGTTTTATTTCTGTATGTATTTTACTACTATACTTTGTAGGTAACTTCAACCTTTAATGATATATCATACTGAACATGTTATTACTCAACGTAGTGTAAGACTGAAACTTAATCTTCAGATTTCCTTTTTTTTTTTAATTGGAAAGGAAATACATTTAATTAACAGATTTGTACTTTATCTTTGCAGAGTTCTTGGACAGGTTTCCTGTGAACTTGTTTCTCCAAAACTCAATAGGGCAACAGAAGGTATTCTTTTTTTTAACCTTGAGCTCTCTCAGATGGCTGCCCCAGCTTTTGAACCTGGCAGGTATTTAAATCTTTTTCTTAAGCTGTTTTAGCCAGAGGAGAGCCTAACAGGGGTGAGCTATTGTTTTACTGCCTGGTGTTATATCTCATGACATTAGCCCATTCCTGTTTTCATAGGCAGTCAGATCTCTTGGTGAAGTTGAATCGCCTCTTGGAAAGATGTCTAAGAAATTCGAAGTGTATAGACACTGAATCTCTCTGTGTTGTTGCTGGTGAAAAGGTGGGGAATATGCCCAAAATTCTTAATCTTCGGATGAGTATTGTTGATTCATGGATCCCTGTATCTATACTTTCATTCTCAGAGCTTCAGTTAATTCAGTTTTATTCTAGTTCACTTCACGTCACATATTCCTGAGTGCTACCCATAGAACTTTGTGTCATCTCTCTTTGGAGGGACAAAAAAATTGGTGAAAATAGCAACTTGGATTTGTATACAAATTTCTTATTCAAAGAACTTGTGGTTTTTCACATATTTTCATTTATTTTCTTATGTTATTTAAGTGAATTGATAGAAGCAGGTAATGTTTTCCTTTTTTATGGATGAAGAGCTAAAGAACTGATTAAATCCTTCATTTGGATAGGTTTATTGACTTACACAGGGCTGCATAGTGAGTCATTGGTAGTCCGACATTGGAAATATTACTCTCAATATATTGTGCTATTTGATGATTTTAGAACTTTATTCTTGATTAGGGTATTTTAACTATCTTTTTGACTCCAAAGAAGTCACTTGGCCTTTCCACATTCTATACTTGAATATAATACTATTTGCATTACTTGTAAGGTTATCATAAATATTGTCAAGTAAAACCTAAGAGTTTGAGGTTTTTAAGTTAGGAGACACAATAAAAATATCATTAGGCTTGGAGTTAGGGGAATCTTAGTACTAAATGTAGTGTGGTTCTGTTTATTTACAGTATATATTTTACTGTTGTCAAATGACTCATAGAAAGGTAAGCTATTGGTATTTCAGGTGTTGGTCTGGCTTGACATTTTTCTAAATGTATTTTTATTGATACAGTAGAAGGAGTAACTGCATGTTTTAACAGCAAGAGAAAATTTTGTACACAGTGTTACCTTTCCTTATAAATAACCTCTGGTTGTGACTATTTAGGATTTATTTTTGTTTTGAATTCACATTCAGGTTTGGCAAATACGCGTGGACCTACATTTGTTAAATCATGATGGAAACATTATTGATGCTGCCAGCATTGCTGCAATTGTAGCCTTATGTCACTTCCGAAGGCCTGATGTCTCTGTCCAAGGAGATGAAGTAACACTGGTAAGCTTCCATGATGTGAGCCAGGCTCCTTCTTATGAATGAATGAATATCCTTGCTGTGCAGACAGCTTGTTTTAATGAAGTCTTGTTGTAAATGGCAATTAAGTATGTTGTAAAATTTGTTCACAAGGCAAAAAATATGGTCACAGTTACCTTTGAAATCTCTTAAATCTCCTGTATTAAAGTTTTGTCAGTGAATGCATACCCTATCCTGGTTTTCTTAGAATAGAAATAGATGACTTCTTTGGATTGAGCATTAGGTAAAGTGGTTGGTTTATGCTTAGGGGGCATGTGTGAAAAATCATAATTCTCAGTATTTTCACAGTGAGATGCTTGTTCTCACTGTGTGGCAAAAACCCATCAGAAACACCTGGAAAGACTGTTAAAACATCTTGCTAGTCTCCATCCTCAGAGTAGAATGGGGATAGGATGTATGAGTTTGTACTTCTGACAGAGTTCCCAGGTGATATGATAGTGCTGGTATAAGGACCACATTTTGAAAACTATGGACCTATACTATTTACATTGTCCTTTCTTTTGTGCAGAGTATGTCAATTTCAATTTATATAAATTACATGCTAGAATAATGAAAGTGCACTGTTGTGATAATTTGATTCCTGAAGTTATAAAAGGAAACATCAGATGCCCAAATTCTCTAAGATGTCATTCATGATGCTGTTTTTAGGAATTAGACTGGAGCAGACTCTTGAAAGACTTAGAGGTGTAGACAAAGTTTTATTAACAATAGAGACATGTTCCTTTAGAGAGGGGAGGTGGTATATGGAAGTAAAAAAGAAAATATAGAGTGATGAGTAGACAAAAAAGACATTGATTTTAAAATACTGTAGAGATATTGCTGGTGGTAAAGTGTTACAGCCATGTTGGAAGAGTTTGGCAGTTTCTTAAAAAGTTAAGTGTAAACTTATACAGCCTAACAATTCTATATCTAAGAATGTACTCAAGGAGAATGAAAGTACACATTCACTCAAAGACTTTCATGTGAATGTTCCTAGCAGCATTATTCATTACAGCCAAAAACTGAAAATTAGCCAAATGTTCATCAACTAGTGAACGGAAAAGCAAAGTGTGGTGTATCCACGCAGTGGAATACTATTCAGCAGTAAAAAGGACCAAACTACCGGTGTGATGTATACTTCAAGGTGGATGAAACATGCTGAGTTGAAAGGAGGCAGATGCAAAAGACTGAAAATTGTTTGATTCCACTTACATGGAATGTCCAGAAAAGGCAGATTTATAGAGATAAAGTATTGATAGATCAGTGGTTGCTTTGGGCTGAGAGTGGGAGTGATAATCAACTGCAAACACGCTTAAGGGAATTTGGGGGAGTAATGAGAATTGATTTGTTTTGTTTTGTTTTTTTGCGGTACGCGGGCCTCTCACTGTTGTGGCCTCTCCCATTGCGGAGCACAGGCTCCGGACTTGCAGGCGCAGCGGCCATGGCTCACGGGCCCAGCCGCTCCGCGGCATGTGGGATCTTCCCGGACCGGGGCACGAACCCGTGTCCCCTGCATCGGCAGGAGGACTCTCAACCACTGTGCCACCAGGGAAGCCCAATGAGAATGTTTTAAAAACTGAATTGTGGTGATAGTTACTTCACTATATATTTACTAAAAAGTGAATTATTTACTAACAGTTAGTGAATTTTATGTTATGTAAATTATACCTCAATAAAGCTTTTTGACAAATACATAAAGTTTTAAAGAAGATGAATGGCAAAGTCAAACAGGTAGTTGCAAAAGAAGTTATTTAGGTACTCACTGAAGATTAAAGGGATTTCAGTTTTTATTTTAATATCTGATGTACAAGATGTTTTTTTGTATGTTTGTAAGTTAGTGACTGTAATTATTGAAACTTTTATTTTCAAACAGTATACACTTGAAGAACGTGATCCTGTACCATTGAGTATCCACCACATGCCCATTTGTGTCAGTTTTGCCTTCTTCCAGCAAGGGTAAGTCTCATCCTTGTCATGGGCTGAAATTATAAATCCGTAGGCAAATGAACAAACCCCTTGTTTAATATTAGAGCGCCTTATAGTTCTTTTATTTCTTTCTTAAGAGCATTACTTGACAAATGCTCAGAACTAAGAGCTTTCTCAGTAGAAGTGACAAATTCTCCTTTAATGAAGAGACTTCACATTTTTCTTTTCATGGCATACA